AGACTGTGTTGTATGATCATGCATTATATAAGGATCCACTGTACTGTTATAACAACAGATGGATGCTAGCATAAATGGACAGTACTCTACAGTACTTTTGATAGTTTGTTTTATCAGATTTTTGTTGTTGTAAATATGCTTAAAACTGAACTTGTTCACCTAAAATTTCTTCACTTACTCATTTTCATAGCAATAGTATAGTTTATTGTAGGTTATTGTTTAAATAATACATATTAATATAGTTCAATTATTTGTAAACACTGAAATGGGGGAGCATTATCTGAACACACACACACACTAAAACATAATCCTGTACACCTTTGTTTTATACTTTTCATGGTTTACAGAACAGTATTTATATCCTGTTTATGAGCCTGTGAAGAGTATAAGTATTGACTGGCATTGAATTATAAAGACCAACTGTAGTATCTTGACTAAACTATTGCCATGGTCCGTTTATATTAGGAGTTGCCTGGCGCTATGTGCGAGCATCCATGTCCATAGCTATGCTGGTGCCTCCTATGCCAGACCCTGTTGATGGTCATTTACTGGTTGATGGTTGCTACATCAACAATGTTCCAGGTAAGGTATAAGTCATTTGTCTTGCATTAGAATTCTTGTTAATTGGCAGAGCTAGAGGCATGTGGCACTGTCACGGTGACAGAAAAAATGTGTATGTAATATACCGATTTGTTATGTGTGTTTCTTAAGTGTATCAGTACAGGTGTATACATGTACTAATTTTAACAAGGTCAGCTCTGATTTGTAAAGCTGAAAAATACTTAAATCTATTATTTTCAGTAAATCCACAATATAGTATGAATAATTTTTTATGCTGTATTATATATTTTTGATAAATTATATATTTTAAACAATCATTTACAAAAGTAAACTCAAAAACCTGTTTTCTGAATATTTTTGGAATTGGTCATAATGCCTGGGGTCTTTAAAAAAATTTTGAGTGCTGTAGTCGAGGGTCTAAATATTCTAGAGTCTTGATAATGCTGACACATGACAGCAGACAACTGGATGCAATAAACAAAATCTGGTCCAGTTATGGTTGCTTGTACAGTACATCATTCCTGCAGTTATCTAGTGTATACAAAAAGGAAGACACCCACTAATCCAGAATTATGCTGACACACGTACAAACATTAAAAATGTATAATAAAAAATAATGTTTCTGAATAATTTTGTTACTTAATATAGTACAGAAAGTATATGTATACTGTGCAGCTTACTGCATTGTAATTTAACAACTTTCCGTAATTTAAGGTTTGCTGTAATTAAACAACTTTCCGTAATTTAAGGTTAGCTGTAATTAAACAACTTAACGTAATTTAAGGTTTGCTGTAATTAAACGACTTTCTGGGAGAGTGTGCTCAGTAGCTTCCCAGGCTCAGTCCTGGCACATATGAAGCCCTTGGGAAGATGCCCTTGGCTAGGTTATCTTGGGCATGAGGAAAATCCCTCTCCAGAAAGCATAAGCACAACAAAACAAGCAACTGCTTGAAGAAAATCAAATATCCAGAGGTGATGAGGCAAACAATCGTTGCTGTGCTGTAAACATCCTAATTGTGAAGTGCCATCAGGTGGCATTCCTGCCAGCCTTTCCCCTCACTCACTCGCCTGGTCACAGCAATTCCCCCTCACGACTAATCAGCAGCAGCTGTTACGTAATCCTGTAATACAGTATCTCGATATCTAAATAGTATGTACAGTACAATAAACTAGTGCACAATAAACTAGCGGCCTCTGGTAGCAAAAAAAAAAATATCAGAGGCTTCCCGTGTTGATGCCTTATCTCTAACTATTAGATGTAAGTGGGCTATGGGAGAATGTAGGCTCCATCCCCCAGTCCTCTTGTGGTAGCAAAGGGGTTTCGAAGATTTTGAGTTACCCTGATCCTTCCATGGAATTGCCATTTGTGTCGTATACTCTGAGCCCAGATTTAGTTCCGAACACAACATTTACCCAACTATATCTCATTTTCCTCGTGAATAGTTAACTGGGGGAAACTTCTGGTGACCTGGGCTGCCAGCTGGTGGTGGTCAGGCACATCACAGTTGGCGTACAGTAAATTAACACTCGGTAACACAACACAGTTATGTCCTGGGGTAACACTCAGTCATTTGGCTTCTTACCTCTGGGCACCTAATTGTCTTCAAGCAGCTAGTACTTTTGTTGCATTTATGTCTTATGGTGGAGTCTTTGGGTTGATTGTGGCTACCAGTAGGCAATAGTGGGTCCTGGAGGTTTGGTACACCTTCCTAATGCATGGCTGTTTGAACACACAGCTCAGGAAGCTACCGAGACCATCTGAAAAGAGCATTTCATTACAGTAAATATTTTATTTATTTATTTGTCCCTAAAATAATGAACAAAAATAGCTGGTGAATGTGTGTGTACTTGTAATAGACAGGTACAGTGTATTCCAATTAATCTGAATAATTAGGGCTTTTCTATGCAGCGGCACCTCTACTTACGATTGCCCTGACTTACGATAATTTCGAGTTACGATGTAAATTTGATCGAAAAATGCGACTCATTTTAAGATAGTGTCTTATGATAGTGTCGTCGACTAACAATATTTGTTGATACACGTTCGGGTTGACCGAGCGCGTGGTTCCTGGTCACGCGGGCCGACCTGCCTCAGTTTACTAGAGCCGCCCATATAGTGACGATCACGCTTATAAGAAATTCCATTTTTGAGGTGATTTTTTGCTTTTTGAACATAAAACTGATTATTATATATATCGCACAATGGGTCCCAAGAAAGTCAGTGGTAAGGTTCAACATATGAAAACACATGTAAGAATGACCATCGAGGAAAACAAGAGATCATTCGTAAACGTGAAAATACTCGTGTTGTTGAACTAGCTAGGCAGTACAACAAATCTTCAGAGGAGGCGGCGGTGGCGGCAGCATTAGAGGATGTCCCTCATTAATTAAGAAAATGTGTGTAGTATAGCAAGAACCGCAAAGTTTTGCTGAAAAGAATCACCCAGATACAGCTGGTTACGGCCTGAACAGCCTGTTACAACAGGCCGTTCCATTGATCTTTTTAATGACAATGTGATGCCTCACTACAGACAAGTGTTGCAAAGAAGGGAAAACAATCTTTAATGGAACGATTTCTAGTGAGAAAATCAAGCAGTAAGCCAGAAGCCAGTCCTAGTGGTATGCAGCAAAATGTGCCAGTGTGTATACCCCAGAGAAGTCCTCACTGCCTGATGATATAATGGAAGGGGACTCCCCTTCCAAACAGTAACACCACCTCTCCTGCCCCCCCTCCTCACCATCTTCCATACGCCATCAAGAGTCCTCCATAAAGGTAAGATAAACATATGTATTGTATTGTAGTTAGGGAAAAAAATTGTATTCAGTATAAAATGTATTTTTAAGTTAATATTTTTGAGGGTGTGGAACGGATTAATTCAATTCACTTTATTTCTTATGGGAAAAATCGTTTCGACTTAGGATATTTCGACTTACGATACGTCTCTGGGAACGGATTACCATCGTAAATCAAGGCCCCACTGTACTCTATTTTGGTGAAATCTTATGATTTGTTTATGTTTAAGAAAATGTTCCAATAAATCAGGTTTTGACTAATGTAAAAACATGTCCAACTTTTATCAAATCACTTTTATACTCAGAATAATGAGTTTACTGTACTGTAAATGTGAAAAATCAAAATTATTATTAATGAAAATATTTTTTTATTCTTGTGCAAATTAATTAGTTCATAATGTATTCATATTTTCTTTCATTTAGTTAACCATTAATTAGGGTATATGTAAGGTTTTGTTAGATGTGAAATGCTAAAATTGTTACCTAGTAATGGTCATTATTGGTCAATACTGTATTGCAAAAAAAAAAAAAACTTAGAAAAGTGTCCATTTTAATGTAGGGAAAGTAATATTGTGGGGCTATATTAAGGAAGCAAGTACAAGCTGGCCTTAAAACTTATATTGTTTGTCAGAGATCTGTTAAGTAATCACATTCTTGTCTCAAGTTCAATTTTTTCTGTATTTAAAAAGTCTGTCAAGACATTAGGAGAAAATACGGTAAAAAATGAATTATTCCACTACTTATTGAATACATTTTAAATACTGTAGTGTAATTAGTCCAAGCAGAGAGCTACTTTATTGGTAAGTATAACATGCAGCGTAATGTTCGATAATGAATATAACGGATACGTCTACAACAGCTGCTGTACAAAGTGAAGTTGGGCCATGTGTTGGGAGGTGGCAAGTCATTTGTGTGTTGCACTCTGCATGGCAATGAACACATTGTGTTCATGGTGGTTGGCTATACTAAACTTGCATGTTTGGAAATCTCTAGCTACTTTATGGATTACATAGGAAACTGGTAGGTAAGTATTTTGTGAGCACTTGGCAAAAGTTCAATCATCAGTGTATGAAGGGGTGTTGGCTCCTTGTCAAGTTTCTGTTAGTGGAACACATAGTGCCGCCTTATGAGCAGTATATTTTCCATTTATAAATTTCAATATACTGTATTATTTTTGCTATTCAGACAGCTTTAGTGACAGATTCTTCCTGGCTTGGTACCTTCTTTTGATAGTTACTTAGTGACAGATTCAACTATTATATCTTGTTAGAGTATTCACTTTTGACAATCTTAAGCTTATCTTTATACAGTATTGCACAGGGACTTTGACTTTGTATGTTAATTTAACTTAAAAGAGGATTGCTTCGGTATTTCAATATTATTAAGATTGCACCTTCCTCTTTTTAATGATACTCATGTTCATACATTTATATGTATTCTCTATGTTCAAGGATGCATAGCGACTATAATTTCCAGAATTTAACTTTAACTCTAACCCTCTTTCTTTTTCACCTCATTTTCTTATCCCTTTCTCTCTTTCAAATCTTCATTCTCATCCCTATTTTCTCTATACACATCTTTGTTCCACTTCTTTTGACTGTTTCCACCTTCTCCCCTCCTTCCTCTTCCTGTTGCTTGCTCTGTAGGTGATGTGATGCACAACAAGTGGAGTGTTGGCAACATCTTGGCAATCGACGTGGGTTGCCAGTACGACACACACTTTACTAACTACGGCGACTGTCTCTCGGGCTGGAGCGTCCTCTTCCGCCGTGTCTTTCCCTTCAAGTATTTCTTCCGAAAGGAGCTAAAGGTAGGAAGGTTGTTAACTAAGAACAGGAAAGTGTGATTAGGTACCAGTGGCCTTTAATGAAAATGTGTGTCAAGCATTATGATTTTTGTTGTTTGTGGTTACATATTTATTATTGTAGCTTGGGAAGAGAACTGGCCTTGTAATGCCCTATCATCTTCATACATTTTATTGTAAATATTCTTAAAGCTTGCAATGGTTTTGGCACAGTATTTTTTTTCAACTGTCTTTTCTATGGAAGCTATTTGTGTAATTTATCTCAAGTCTTCAAAAAGTCTTCAAAAGTCTTCCTCTTACTTTTCTGGGGGGAGCCCCTTCGGCTTCCCAGTGTTTATCCTGGCTGATATGGAACTGTTAGTGTTTGGCATCAGTCAGTGTAAATGGAGTTCTTAAGCCTACCAGGTACCACGACCCAGAACCTGTCCCCTCAGAGAAGCACGAGGAGCAATGGCCTATAGAATTGCTCATGTGATTTGGAGCATTCTAAATCTGCCATTGACCGGGTCAGGCACCCAGAAAGGTAAGCATCCCAAAACAAACCCCTATTCTGGTTGAAACTACTACTAAAAGTCAAATGAGGGGACAGAACTCCCCAAAGAAAAACAAGTAAACAAGCATGGCGTCACCACATTGCCGCGCTGCCATCTGCGCAGCTTCCCTTGCCCCGGGAGGGGGAAGGGGGAGCCCCAGACCCCTTATGCTGGCTACCCACACCTTCAGTTCTTGGCTGATGTGATTGAGGCTTGGTCATGTGATTCCAACTCCTGTTTCTTGTCTCAGTGCACTGCCTTGTGTTTAGTGCTGTCTTCAGGGTGGTGCATGAACTGGGAGTAATCTTCACTGGTACTTGGGCTGCATGCGCTTAGGGTTCCCTTCCCAAAGTGGTCTGTAAGTACTGCCCTTGGGGTTTGGGGTTATCTTCCACAAATCACCTTGGGGTCTACCTCTGTTGGTCTTTTGCTGCTCGGTGATTGGCCGCCCTGAATGTGCTGGGGGGTTTCCTCCTCCCTTGATTACTTTAGGTAAAGGGTAGTTTGCACTGGTAGGGGTGCGGGGTACTGCACAGCTAGTTATCACCTATTATAGCGGCTGGCTTTGTTCCGCCTGGATACGTTGTCCCTCTTATGTTTTTTTTTTTTTTTTTTAACGGGGAAAACCCAGGACCCCACCTGGGTTTTCCTACCCTCCAAGTGGGGCTTACTGTTACAAGGAGTGGGGTTTTCTTCCCTCCCCTCTGTGTATGAGTTCAATTTGGCGTCAGTTCCTCCCCGGGTTTGGATCCGTGTTCCTTCGGGTCCGTCAGTTCCGTCCTTCCAGAGGTTTTCGGCTTCTCACGTCTCGCTTACTGAGGTGCTGGCGGCCATTGCGGCTTACCTCTTGCGCGACCCGGATTATGCCTCTGCTCTGGATCTATCTTCTTTCAGGTTTGGGTCTTCTTTTCCATACTGGGTTCGTTATGAGGTTCTGGAGTCGTCCTGGCTAGCAGACTGCCCTGTGTTGTCGTTGGAAGTTTGGAGTACTTTCTGTTGTACCCATATGTTTGAGTGACGCGAGGCATTGACGGTGGTCCAGGTTTACCTGAGGGGCAAATTCGAGCGCCTCAATGCATGTTTGTTTGCCCCTGCCCTTCAGCTGGATATTGGCTTGGTTCAGCTTCACGTGCAGGTTCTCTTCCTTTCAGCTACACTGGTGGCAGAGGACTTGCGCGCACGTGGCCTACTGACTTCGGTCTTGCGATTCTTTTCCCTCCTGGGCTGTCTTTGGATTGACTTCAGGAAGATGTGGAGGCACTTGGGACCGTTCCTGGGTCTGGTGCCTTGGTCTCGGTGGTACGTGCATCGTCTGCACTGCTGAAGCTGTTTGCGCCGATCATGCGGGACACGGTGTCAGTTTTTAGCTTTGTCTCTCATATCGGCAAGTAGTGCTCGCTTCCTTGTTGGAATCTGCCAGGGCCCTGCTTCTTAAGTTTTTGTCGCCATTTTGTCCCTTGCTGTTTGCGGAGTCTGCAGTTGGCAGTTTCTGCAAGCAGCCTCTTTTAGTTGTCGTCCAATGTCGGACTTGTTGGTTCTTCGGGGGTCCCCGGAGGGGGTGGGGGGGTTCCTCCAGAAGCGTCGCGCCTGGGCTCAGGGTTCCTCTCATCATGGTAGGCCATCTGGTCGGCACAATGATCGCTCTTTGCCTAAGTCGAGTTCTCGTAAAGGGCTTCGGCCCTTTCGCGGTTCACCCCATTGAAATTGAAATTGGAATGAGTTTATTGATGTAAAATACACACAAAGGGATGAGGTAGCTCAAGCTATTCTCACCCCGTTCAGTACATCGTGTTAATACATACATAAACACACATCACAAACAATGAACATATTACCAAACATTCTGAGAGATAAACATATACATTTCCTCCTTCACAAGTAGTATGGTATCAGACATACACACAAATACTTTTTTGACCTAGGTATACTGTACAGTATAGACAATTACAAGAGACATGCAGATAATTCAACAAAAAATTAGTCTTGATGCAAAATTCTTGTATCTCTCAAGAATATCAACCTTTCCGTTGTGACACATCCAGGCCATTTGTTCAGGAACAGTCCTTATCTCAGTGTTTCTATATACATTAATCAACGGACAATCAAGAACATAATAGGCAAGGGTGTGAGACCTTAACATACCACATAGTTTACATTTCGTGTCATTATCATGAACACCTATCCCCTATTCCCAGTAATATTTATACCCAAGCCTGAGCCGGATGTACACAGTCACTCCAAGCATTTCTCCTTTTACCATAAGTGAAATGGGTGTTTTGACTCACATAAATGTAGTGTTGCATGGTTTGACTTCCCTCATACATTATACCTCGCCTCTCCACTTCTGCCTGTACCTGAATATTTCTGATTTTGCTTTTTATTTGTCTCATTGTGAATTTACATTCAATGACTCAATCTTCACTTCTGGTATTTTTTACTCAGGTCAATCACCATCTGTATGGTGATCAGGTGGCTTCGTTAATGGTGTCCCACCTGTGTGCTTCGTCTCCATGGCAGGATGAAGTTTCCTGGCGGTCCTTCCGTTTCATTTTGTTAGTTTGCAGCCGTTTCCTTCTTTTATGGCGAAGAATGAGATGGCTACTTTCCGGAGGGGTCCTTGGGTTGTAGATGCTTGGTTGGTCAAGCCGGGGGTTCATCATGTGTTGTGTTCGGTTGCGGCTCTGCCGTTATTTGCGGGCATGGCTTCTGTGTCCGGGGACGCGCTCTGGGTTGATTCGATTTCTCTTTTTCCTCTGCTCCAGGGTTCGGAATCTTCCAGGTTGTCTGCAGGGTTATTCGGTCTAGCCAGCCTGTGGTCTATCCCCATGCCCACGACATTCGTAAGTTTGTTGCTCTTGCTACCGTCTTTGGTAACATGTCTTGGGTTGACATTCGGGCATGAGGTTTTTGGCAGTCGAACAGGGTCCTGGCTTTGTGCTACCTGGCCAATGTTCTGGGGCCTAGTCGGGCCTGTGTCACTTTGGGTCGGCGGTTGCACCCAGTTGTGTCGACTTCGCGTTGAGGGGCGAGTGCTGACCGCCTACCGGATAAGTTCCTATTGTTTTTGTCTTTTGGTAAGTAGCTCTGGGGAGCAGAAGAGGCTCCCCCCAGAAAACCAGCGTTGAGTGTAATGAAACGCCATTTTCTGGGTGAGACCCAAAGGCATCCCTCCCTCCGAGAGGGAGCCGGTCGGCCGAGCGGACAGCACGCTGGACTTGTGATCCTGTGGTCCTGGGTTCGATCCCAGGCGCCGGCGAGAAACAATGGGCAGAGTTTCTTTCACCCTATGCCACTGTTACCTAGCAGTAAAATAGGTACCTGGGTGTTAGTCAGCCATCACGGGCTGCTCCCTGGTGGTGGAGGCCTGGTCGAGGACTGGGCCGCGGGGACACTAAAAAGCCCCGAAATCATCTCAAGATAACCTCAAGATAACCTCCCTCTAGTCGGCGTTTTTTTCACGCGTTTTGATATCCAGCCTTCGAACTGAAGGTGTGGGTAGCCAGGGCGAGGGGTCTGGGGCCCCCCTTCCCCCTACCAGGGATGGTGGAGCTGCATAGACAGCAGCGCAGCAATGTGATGACATCATGCTTGTTTGCTTGGTTTTCTTAGGAGAGTTCTGTCCACTCGTTTGACTTTTAGTAGTAGTTTCAACTGGAATAGGGGTTTGTTTTGGGATGCTTACCTTTCTGGGTGCCTGACCCAGTCGATGGTAGACATAATGCTCCAAATCACATGTACAATTTTGTAGGTCATTGCTCTTCGTGGTCCCCCAGTAGGCCTAAAAATTCCATTCACACTGATGCCAAGGTCCAGTAGTTCCATATCAGCCTGGATAAGCTCCGGGGAGGCTCTGGGCCTCACCCAGAAAATGGCGTTTTATTACATTCAATGCTGTTTTTTTTTTTTTTGTATTCCAAACTTTTGATGGTCCACTAGAAGTAGGAGCTTCTTTACATGCAATGCAAAATTTTTACTTCGATTTTCTTGATGGCACAATATTTTTATCTTTTTTTTTTTTTTCCTCCTCCCAGGTGCCAAACTTGTATGACATCCAGTCTCGGTTATCGTATGTATCATGTACACGACAACTAGAGGAACTGAAAGTTAGTGATTACTGTGAATACATTCGCCCACCTATTGATAAATACCAAACTCTACAGTTTGGTTCCTTTGATGAAATTAAGGTAAGGCACAATTTTGGGTTGAACCATATGTTCTTTGTTTGTATTATTTATGTTGTCTCCATTACCTTAAATGTCACTTTTTTTTAATTATTCCACTCAAATACTCTTTAAGGCAAGTTTACTGTATGTTTTGTTGAGATGGTTCATGTTTGTCTTTTTTGTACCAAGATGAACATAGTAATGTTTTCAATATATTAGCTATCGGAAAAATACTTTTGTTCTGAAATGTGTCTCCACCTTTAATGGGGGAAGCCCCGTCGGCTCCCCGGAGCTATCCAGGCTGATATGCTAATGTTAGACTTTGGCATCAGTCATGTGTATGGAGTTCTGTGGGCCTACCGGGGGACCATGAGTCAGAACCTGGCCTCCTCAGGAGAGGCAAGGGGAGCAATGGCCTATACAAGCCCCCGGTAGGCCCACAGAACTCCATACACATGACTGGTGCCAAAGTCTGACATTAGCATATCAGCCTGGATAGCTCCGAGGAGCCTCCGTTTCTCACCCAGAAAATGGCACTTCATTACATTTAACACTGGTTTTTTGGCTCAATTACAGTGCTGCAATTGCTTGCTTTGGGGGGTACTTATTCTGATATTAGTGACCTGCTCTCCTGGGGTGTTTGTGTTTCTGATTCACCCTTCCATATACTTGAAGGTTATAATGATGCAGATGCATCTCTTGTATCCTGGTCTCTTCTTTGGACTATGTTCCAGAGTGAGGAGCTTGGGATCTGTTCAAGAGTTTTTCCTATAGCTGCATGTTTTAAATTTCTGCATGATCTAGATAGCTCTGGTGTTTCTACCCAAGATTTAAACTTACATCTGTTTCAATGCTCCTCTTTGGGCTATGGTCTCGCAAATTGTAAATTCCATTCGGATGATTTTGGTTCTTGACTATTGTGGGTTCCTTACAGTTTCCATTTATCCTTGAGAACTTTCTCATCTTCTCTGTGGGGATGTTGCTTTTTTTGAACCAAAAGATATTTCTTATTTTCAAGTGCTGGACTTGTTGCTTACTCTCTAGGAAGTCTAGCTTCTCTTGACTTTTTAGTTTGGCTCTCATGCTTTTTGGTTTATGATTATTGCTCCTGTGTACCTAGTAAGTGCTTTGGGGGGCTTGTGTTTGCTCTTGGAGGGTGTTTCCATATTGTCAAAGTGTCTGCTTGGGCTGTATAGCCTTGGGAGAAACATTTGAGAAGACCTTTGGTGTGTAGGGGAGTGAAAGTTGAACTGGCTTGGCTGTTTAACCTTGTCCTTATGAGATTAGGATATCCTAAGGTGAATAAGCAAGTGGCTCTCAGAAAGGAGCTCTTAATCAACACTTAAATCCTTGTTTCTGAAGAAACAAGCATGTACTGGTATTGAATTTATATAGGCATTTAAAATAAACTAACTATTAATCACCAACCTAGGAGGTCGGATATCAGCATGGAAAGACATACTTCAGTGGAATGCTGAAGGGAGGCCGTACAGTGGAAAGCATCTACCAGCTGAGCAGTGGGAAGGGAGAACAGGCCAGCCTTGATGCCTGTCCTGCCACCTTCACCGACCTCGCACAAATTGTCTGCTCGGTCAGAAAACCAACAGCCAACAAAGTCTTAGAAGGTAGTGAGATTTTGTGTGTGTGTGTGTTAGTTGTGCTAATATAAGCTTATGTTCGTATATGGCCACTCAAAACTTCCTTTCAAATGTTTATTATTCAGTAAAATAGCTATGTTTTATGCTTACAGAAAGTGCCACTATGAATATACTGTTTTTAACTGAATAAATCAAGCAAAGGCATGACAAAGAAAATGAAATGGGTACTGTATATTACAGTGCATAGAAGGCCAATAGCTTATGGTACTGGTCATCATCTATACTTTATAGTAAGAACCATGTAACTTCAGTGTGTAAAACAACTTGAGAAAATTTGTTATTTTTGTATTTGAATGATATACTGCATCATTCTAGAGTGAGGGGTTTCTTTGGTGTATGTAACTCAGACTGCATGTTAATCTGACCCATAGTAATGTTCACATCTTGGTGTTACTGGCAGTTTCTCAGGAGCACATAGCGTCAAGGTTGGCTAGTTTTGCACACTATACGGGAAATTAGAATGGAGCTAATGATATGCATTAATGCAGGCAGTCCTTAACTTGAAACCAGATTTCCCATAGAAGCAGTGATAAATTAAGAATGCATTCCCTAGCCACCAAATATTAACATAAACCCCAAGATTTTTGAGACAAATATTATAAGCTACACTGCTTTTTATCTACCTTAAATGTTAGAATTGGCCTGTTTTGTCTGATGTGATGCTTTATGAAGAACGAGAGATAGAGAGAGGCAGTAAAAGGTGGTGATGCAAGGCACTGCTTCATCACCAATACACCTCCCCTTCTCACCTCTTTTTAAGGAATTTTTTCTTAATTAACAACAGAAATAGAGGTTTAGTAGAACTGGTTGCAATGTAACTTTGGTATTGGTTAGTGTAGTGGCACATGGAGCTAAAATAGCATTTTGAGGGTGTTTTTCTTTTCCAGATTATAGTTGATTTTTGTATTATATAAAATGTAAAATTCATTTAACTGCATGTAAAACTTCAAAATTTTGTGGTTGTATACAGTATTATGTTTTTATTTAAATTTCTTTATATTGCCTCTTCAGTTTTTTTATAAATTTTTAAGCATAACCAAGTTAGTCATAGATTGTGTGTACAGTATCCACTCAATTTAACGGCCTATATGGGGCTGTACCCTAGTCGTTATTTCCAGAGCTCCGTTATTTCCGAAGTTAAGTCGGGTCGGGTAATTTTTCAAGTAACATTCAGGTAGGATATATTTTATACTGTATAACTAAAATTAAATAAAGTTCATTGTGTAATTGCATTCCAATTTAGTGCCACACTGACGATTAAGCCAGTTGTTGGCTGCTGCATGGATGATGTGTGAACACGGTCTGATCAAGCCCAGATGGGTGGGAAAAAATTGATTCATTCCTTTGTATTGCAAAATATTTCATGTATCAATCAGCAAGTTAATATTTTCTCAATAATATTTTAGAGATGTGTTTTGATTTACCCTGAACAGTGCAGGTAATGTATTTTTAATGTTACAACACACGCTGTGGCGGCCATGCCATAACAATGGCGATCGAGCCTTGTCACTGAGAGCTAGCCAAGACGAAATATTTTGAGCTCACCTATTCTCTGCTGACGATAGAATATACATTTGCAGAGACTAATATGTAGCTTTTGTTGAAAAAAAACAATTAATATCTTGTAATACTGTACTATAATAAAATTGGTAAATTGACTTTTAATGGAGCTGAAGATTACGAAGCTGTGAAGATTACGTCATCCTCTGCAGCGCTTGTTTTATATTGTTTATATTGTATACAGGGTACATACTGTATGTACACTTATTTTCAGGCATATTTTAATAGAGTATCCTTCTGTTTCTTGATGTCACTTACTGTACTTTTCCCGATGTTAAACTCTGCTGCTGCTCGTGCATGAGAATATCCTTTATCAAGTTTCTTAATTAACTCCAGCTTCTGTGCAACTGTCAGGCGCTTCCTTTGGGTAACTTTTGGCATTTTGTAAATTAAAAAGATCACAATTACAGTACAGTAATATCCTTCACACTTGAAGCTAGCCGCGCGAGTTCACAGTAAACACTGGGAACACATGGCCCGGCGGAGTACATTCTAGGTCCGTGGGAAAAAAAATACCTAGTGCCTATACTATAAAAGGTATTTAATAAGAAAACAAAGACTTTTGCTTAATAACCCCCTCCCCTTCCGGCCCGTTGGCGTCGTGAGGGGGCTTGGTGGACGGCTGCCGGAGTGTGATGCTCCGTTGGGCAGTCCTCTGTCCTTTTCTGGCCTTGCACTCCTGCTGCTGTCTTCTCCAATTGTGCCGGATCGCTTTTCCTTTTCCTTATGTTTCGTTTTTCTCCCCCCTCTTCTCCTATCTGCTTGTCGTTTCCTGCCGACCTTTTGCTTGTTTTGGATTATTTCTTTGGTCTTCTTCTATTTTGACGCCCGGGTGCTTGAGGAGGCATACTCTTGCACCCGTAGAACTGTGGTACCCGACGTCTCGAGCGAGGGGAACCTTTTATTGTCAATCCCCCTTTCGTCGCTGAACCCGATCTCGACGGACTGACGGTTCTTAAGGTGGCGTTTGTGGGGCGTATACTCACGACGCACCCCTAGGGGGCCCCGGCGTGATCAGCGATAGCTTCCTGTTGGGTGTCCTGCCTCTAATTGTGGCTCCATGGTGGGTATGGGGGCACATTCGTGGATGAATTTGTCACTTTTCGTCTCTATGTCGTTGAATGTTTCCGTTGTACCCTCTCAGGCTCGTGGGGTGGGCGACCAAGCCCCCGAGTCGGCCTGTATTGGAAGACCAGGCTCTGTAGCTCCCGCTGCGTTGGGCCCCGACCTTGCTCCTCCTTTGACCGTCCTGACTTCTTCCCCCAGCTCCCCTCCCTCCTCTGAGGTTGGGTCGAGCCTCCAGCCCCCGGTGGTGACCACTTCGTCCCCTGGTGTGGCTAAGTCTTTCGTTGTGACTACTGTGCCTTTTGACCCCTCTCTCTCTAGGGGTTCTCAACGCCGTTCGCGCCCCAACCGCACTCGCTCGATTCCTTCCCGTGCTGATGCGTATCAGGCCTTGTTTGGTCCTGCTTCATGGGCCAAATACTTTGATCTCCTCCCTCTTGATTCTGCGCCTCCTGACGATTTCTCCCTCCATCGGCATCTTGTAGATTCCGTGGATGCGTGTGTTACTTTCAACCCCACTCGTCTCGGTACACGTGTCGTTGCTGCTCCTTCTCAGGATGCGGCTTCCCGCTTGGCTGCCTTATCTTGCCTTGGCGAGATCCCTGTTCGGGTCTCCAAGAACGTTCAGATGAATTCCAGTGTTGGCACTATTCTCCTCCCACCCCATGTTGCAACCGGTGTTCGGAATCTGCAGGATTGCCACGATGATATTCGGCATATCCTTGATGCCCAAGGCCATTCTGTCCTCCAGGTTGACTCGTTTACTCGTCCCCCTCGTGGTCGTCGCCGTCAACCCCTTCGCGTTGTGAAGATCACCTTTGATGGTAGGACCCTTCCATCCTCTGTCATTCTTGCTGGTGCTAGGTGCTCTGTCCAGGAGTATATTCCTTCTCCTCGACTTTGTAATAAGTGCTGGAGGTTTGGGCATGGTGCCCTCCGCTGCTCTGGGACTGTCTCTCTCTGTCCTTTGTGTGGGAGTGAAGGTCACTCTAAGTCGGAGTGCACTTCTCCCCAAGCTCGCTGCCTCAACTGCGGTGAGGCCCATCCTACGTTCTCCCGTGCCTGTGTCCATTACAAGCTTGAGGCGGCCGTCCTTAACCTGAAGCACCGGGAGCGTTTGTCTTTTCCTGAGGCGAGGCGCCAGGTTCGCCGGCTCCCGCCTTATACTAACATCTCTTATGCTCGCGTGTTGCGCTCTTCCTCTCCTCGTCCTTCCCCCCTTCCTCAGACTCTCAACCGTTTCCGGGCCTTGGACCCTGATACGCCCACTGCCCCCTCCTCTGTTCCTTTGAGTTCTTTCCCGAGGGGTCCCCCTCCTGGTCCTCTGTCTGGGGTTCCCCTTCTTTCAACCCGGTCTGTCATGTCTCCTGTGTCTTCTTCCTCGTCCCCCTCCGATCCTCCTTCCCATCCTCTTCCTCCATCTATCGGCTCTCCCCGCCGCCTGTCGGTGCAGGCGGATGTCCATCGCTCTCCTAACGGCCGTCGTGTGTGCTCTCGTTCGGCTTCTCCTGTTGAGACACTGGAATCCGTTGCCCGGTACGTAGTTGCTGGGACACCTGTCTCTTTAAGTCAGAAGCGTAAGCCTGGCTCCTCTCCTTCCTCTTCCCCGGCGGGTAAGAAGGCTTCGCTTTCTTCCTTAGCTCCTACTTCTGGCTCTGTTGCTCCTTCCCCTCCCGTTTCAGTGGTTGCGCCCCCTGTTCCTGCTATGGAGGTTTCTTTGGCCCCTGCTTCCCTTTCGGTTGCTGCTCTTGCTGGGGTGCGCTCCCCTCTTTCTACTCCCCCTCTTCCTACTCCCCCTCTTCCTACTGCTGTCCTTGACTGCTCCTCTCCGTTGTCTCCTCCTCTTCCTCCTCCTCCTCCGAACCCCCCCCGCCCACCACTGATCTGTTCTCCCGTTTCCTTCCCTCCGTCTTTGCTCAGTTTACCCATGCCCCCTAACCCTGACTTTGCTGACCCTGATCCCGACCCTGATATTCTTTAACGTGCTCTGTTGCTCTTTCGCCTTTGTTTCTTCCTTGTTCTCTGTTTTTGTCCTTTCTCTTGCCATCGTTGTCCATTCTTCAATGGAACGTTCGAGGTTATTACGCCAATTTCCTCGAACTCCAACTTCTGATTTCGCGGTTTTCGCCCCTTTGTGTCTGTCTCCAGGAGCCAATGCTTGGTGCTCGTCCTGGTCGTTTTCGTGGCTATTCCTTTCTCTCCCCCCCCCCCCCCCAGCCATTGCTGGGGCTTCTAATTCTTCTGCTCTCTTGATTCGTGCAGATGTTCCCTTTGTTCCTTTACTTTTTCCTTCGCCTCTCCATTGTTCTGCTGCTCGTATCTTTGTGGGGAAATGGTACACAGTTTGTTCCATTTATCTCCCCCCGAGTGTCCCGCTCTCTCTTCCTGATTTGAAACACCTCCTAGACTCCTTGCCGGAGCCTGTGCTCCTGCTGGGTGACTTCAATTGTCGTCATTCTCTTTGGGGTGACGTTCTGACGAATACCCGGGGTCGCCTCCTTGAGCAGTTTCTCCTCTCTTCTTCCCTGTCTCTTCTGAATTCTGGTGAGCCCACTCATTTGGACTCTCGAACTCGCACCCTTTCTTGTCTTGATCTTTCTCTCTGCTCTTCTTCTCTTTACTTAGATTTCACGTGGCAGGTTCTTGATGACCTCCATGGAAGTGATCATTTCCCCATCCTTGTTTCCTTTTTCTCTTTTCGCCCTTCCCTCTCTTTCCCTAGGTGGCAGTTTGCTAAGGCGGACTGGACCCTATTTTCCCTCAGTGCTACTCTCTCTGACCTCTCCCTTCTGCCCCTCTCTCGCGCTCTCCTCCTTTTTCATGACACTGTCTTCGACGCTGCCCTCCGCTCTATTCCTCGCTCTTCCTCTCGGGGTCCACGGAAGTGCGTTCCCTGGTGGAATGCGGACTGTGCTCGGGCTGTCCGCTGTAAGCGTGCAGCCTGGAAGAAGCACCGCCGTCGGCAGACGACCGATTCTTTCCTTTTCTTTCGGAAAGCGAGTGCGGTGGCCCGTAGGGCCATCCGTACGGCTAAACGTGAATGTTGGGCATCTTATGTCTCGACAATTACGTCCGAAACCCCTCTGGCCCAGATCTGGAAGCGTATCCGCAAGATAGCGGGTAAGTTCGTTCCCGATGTTTCACCGGTCCTTCGCCTCCATGATACTCTTGTGGCGGACCCGTTGCAGGTCACTTCCGAACTGGGTTCCCACTTTTCTTCTGTTAGCTCTGGTCTTCATCTTCCCCAATCTTTCCTTCTTCGTAAACCTGTCCTTGAGTCTCGTCCTTTAGATTTCTGCACTCATCTTCAGCTTCCCTATAATGATCCCTTCTCTCTCTCTGAACTTCGTTCTGCCCTGGCCCTCTGCGGTTCTACGGCGGCGGGCTCCGATGGTATTCATTATGAGATGCTTCGCCATCTCCCTCCGAGCACGTCTCAGTATTTACTGAGTCTGTATAATCGGATCTGGGAGTCGTCGTCAGTCCCTGAGGACTGGCTCGATGCCGTTGTCCTCCCTGTTCGCAAACCGGGGTCTCTGGGTACTTCCCCTAAGGACTTTCGCCCTATTGCTCTCACAAGTTGTGTCTGCAAACTCTTTGAACGTATGGTTAACGTTCGTCTGATGTGGTTCCTGGAACACCATCACCTCTCCCCTTCTCAATTTGGTTTCCGCAAGTGCCGCAGCACGACAGATGTCCTGGTGACCTTGGAGGTCTATATTCGTACTGCTTTTGCTGCGAAGACCTCCGTTGTTGCCGTCCTTTTTGACCTAGAAAAGGCTTACGACACCACTTGGCGTTATCATATCCTATCTCAACTTCATTCTTTTGGCCTTCGTGGTCATCTCCCTCTCTTTCTCCGCAGCTTCCTCTCTCGTCGTTCCTTTCGGGTGCGCCTTGGTACCGCTCTATCTCCCTCTTTTCAGCAATACGAAGGTGTGCCCCAGGGTAGTGTTCTGAGCACTACTCTTTTTCTGGTTGCCCTCAATGGTCTTCTTTCCTCTCTTCCTTCTGGTGTCTTCTCCGCTCTCTATGTCGATGATCTTACCCTTTGTTGTCAGGGTGATGATTCGCCTCTCCTTCAACGCCGGCTTCAACTTGCAATTGATGCCGTGTCGTCTTGGGCCACGGGTCATGGCTTCAAGTTCTCTACTTCTAAGACTTGTGCCATGACTTTTACGCGGAAACGGGTTGTTCTTCGTCCCTCTTTGTCACTTTATGGTCATCCCCTTGAATACAAAGATTCCGCGAAGCTTTTGGGGTTATTCCTTGACACTCGTTTGTCTTGGTCTCCCCATATCTCTTACCTCCGTGTTGAGTGCTCTAAGGCCCTTACCCTCCTTCGGGTCTTGTCCCATACTTCTTGGGGGGCAGATAGGCGCACTCTCCTTGCTTTCCATTCCTCTCTCGTCCTGTCTAAGCTCGATTATGGTTGCCCTGCTTACTCGTCTGCTTCTCCTTCTACTCTTCGCCGTCTTGATGCTTTGCACCATACTGGGTTGCGCCTCAGTTCTGGTGCCTTTCGTTCGACTCCCGTCCTTAGCTTGTATGTTGACACTGGCTTCCTGTCTCTCCAGGACCGCCGTGATCGCTACTGTCTTCGCTATCTTGCGCGGTCCTTGCAACATCCTTCCTCTCGCCTCTGTCGTGCTTTAACTTTTACCCCTCCTGCGGTTCCTGTTCCTCTTCACCACCTCCCTCTTTCTGTCCGGTTATCTCGCCTACAGGATTCTCTTTCCGTTCGTATTTCTGGTGTTTCTCCTCGTGTTGTTCCTTCTTTGCCCCCGTGGAGGGTCCCTCTTCCGCGGTTTTGTACATCCTTGACTCGTATCACTAAAGCTTTTACCCCTCCTACGGTTCTAAAACGCCTTTTCCTTGAGCACTTTTCTTCTCACTCCCGCTCCGTTTCTGTCTTCACCGATGGGTCGAAGTCAGCGGACGGTGTTGGCTACTCTGTTGTTTTTCCTGATCGCACTTATATGTGTCGCTTGCCTCCGGAGACTAGCATCTTTACAGCGGAACTTTATGCTGTTCTCTATGCTCTTCGTCTCCTGCTTTCTCGTTGTCAGTCTTCCTTTGTGGTTGTTGTTGACTCTCGTAGTGCCCTCATGGCTCTCGGGTGCTTTAATCCAGTTCATCCAGTAGTTGTCGAGATCCAGCATTGGCTGTTTCTCGTTCACAGTAAATTTAAGTCGGTTGAGTTTTGTTGGGTTCCCAGCCATATTGGCGTGTCTTTAAATGAGCGTGCGGATGCTGCCGCTAAGGAAGCTGTCCGCTCTTGTCCCATCTCTCGTAAAGGCATTCCGTATTCCGACTTTTACCCGGTTATCCATTCCTCAGTCCTTACCCGTTGGCAGGCTTCTTGGTTGTCTGTTACTAGTAACAAGCTACGTACTCTTAAATGTTGTGTTTCCTCGTGGCCGTCCTCCTTCCACCGTAACCGGCGGTGGGAAACAGCTCTGGCGAGGTTGCGTATTGGCCATACTCGCTTAACCCATGGTCACTTGATGGAGCGCCGCCCTGCTCCTTATTGTCCTAGTTGCATTGTCCCTCTTACGGTCGTGCATGTCCTTCTTGAATGTCCTGACTTCCAGGACGAGCGTGTGTCTTGCTTTCCGACCGCCCCTCGCGGTCACCTGTCCCTCGATAGAATTCTTGGTGACTCGGATACTTTTGATATCGTTCGCCTTATGCGTTTTTGTTCTCGTATTGGCATCCTTGGTGATATTTAGCGCCCTCTGATTATTTTGCGTATTTGATGGTGCTACATAGCCTTTCCGGTTTGGTGCCTTCTTTTGATAATTACTTACTTACTTTTGCTTAATAAAAACTGTTTCAAAATATTTTATTAATAATAATTTACAATTTTCTTCATTAAAGTGAATCATTTTAAAAGAAAATTAAGATGTAATACATGACTCTGGACGATCCAGGTCGGTGGCCTGGTCGCCATGTGAGGGGACGCTGATGCCACAACAAACCCAATACCGACCGTCGGTAATATCGACCGCAGACCGGTATAGCAGGCTCCAGATACTGGTCTCCCAAACCGGTCCTTAATACCGGCAGATCGGTATAAAAGAGGCCGTTAAATTGAGTGGATACTGTATATAAAATTCTTGGAATAGTTTCAAGTTCTTGGTGGGCAACACTTTCCCTGTATTTTCTTCCTTGCCTTTTCATTTCCAGACTCCTCAACCGAGTATGATGAAGATGACGTACACGGAGGCTATGCATCTGAACCCAACACAAACACAGAATTCTTCCACAAGGTGCCAAATTCCATGTAGTTCATTTTTTTAAGTGTTTACATTGTCCCTTTCTTTCAGTTATCATGGATAAAGCCATCCAGAATACTAAGTGTGCAGCATGATTTTAATATGGTCTTTTATCATCTTTTTTTTTCAGATGTTTTTAATGTTGAGAGAAAGTGGTGTAGAGGGATACATTGTGTGGTGTAGATGTAGGAGAGAATGTAGTGTAGCTGTAGAGGGAGAGAATGTGTGGTGTAGATGTAGGAGAGAATGGTGTAGCTGTAGCTGTAGAGAGAGAATGGGGTGCAGCTGTAGAGGCCAGAGTAGTTGACAGTGCTGTGCATTAGGACATTGCATTGTCAGGTTCCGCTGCATGAATTGGCTTCCTGTTAGCACCTGTAGTTGTGGCTTGCAGTAGTTTTTAATTAGTGTATTACTCCTGTCTTTGTAACCACTCCAGAAGCATTTGGATTTTGTCCATTTGTTATTGATAAGCTTGATGCCTGATAGTGAAACGTAAATATTCCTCCTGTGTAATACATAGTAGCTAAAGAAGTGTGAATGAACACTGTGTGAGTATGTTCAATAAATTCACACACATTCACATAAATAATAAATTCTAATCTATAAAGAAAGGCATCTTTTTTTTTTTTTTTCCAAGGGGAGGCCAGTTGCTTGTGGCTAGCCTCACCAAACTTTGCAGATTGACTGGAGAATATAGAGGAACGGTGATAGGGTAAAGGGGGGTTGACCTGGGCACTGCTGGGTAGCCCATGTAGTAATGTATAAACAACATGGGACTAAGCCAGCTCTAGAGATTCTTATATGAAAGCTATATACAGTACACATGTATTTTTGTACACTGATAATTCATATATATATTTACCTAAATTTACCTGAGGGTCACTAACACTCTAGTGGCCTCAACGAGGACAGGAAGCCAGTGGCTTACCAATTCAAATTCAAATTTTTAATCGGGTAAAAGTACATACATAGAAGATGAGTTACAAACATAAAGTTGGATTTACAGATAGAACTAGTATATACAATACCTAAAGTCACTAATACCATAGCGTTTCGGGCAACAAAAGGTCAAAGGTTGCCTCACTTGTCCTGATGATTTTTTCTTGTTGGATTTTAAAGTTCAATAGTTTTGGCATTTACAACTTCTGCTGGTAGACGGTTCCATGGGTTTATAACCCTATGGGTGAAAAGCATCTTTTTATTTCAGTCCTACATTGTGGCTTGTATCACAAACAAGGAACAACAGGTTCAAGGTCAACATCTGACCTTTTGAAGAAATTGCTCAGATCAACGTCCTCTAATTTGTTCGGTATTTTAAAAGTTTCGACGAGATCTGCCCATCATGCCTGGTTTGCCTCACATTGGCAAGTTTCATCTGTTAGTGCTCTATATACTTGCCTAGCCACCCTCCTAAGTTATAGTATGAGCATCTAACCACTAAGCTATCTAGGGCTGGGGTTTTTACCCTAGGGTTTTACTTTATTCATACTTTGTGTATATCATACACTGTATGAGGCAATCAATTTTCAATAAAATAAGGCATAATCATTGCATGCAAAGTGGTGTTTGTGCTTATGGCAGAGGTTCCTTAGCTTTCCACCAGATCTGTAAAAGGGTTTGTGACTCATACAAGGTTAAGACCCACTGATCTTGAGTATGAGGACCTCGCTGCCTCAATAAAATGCAAATTGATGACCTTGTCACCAGTACAGCATGGGAGGTTGACAACCCTCACCTTTACATGCTGCTTATAAATACAACCACCATCAAAAACACACAAATTACATAAACATGATATATATCAATGGAAAAATCCACTAGGGCTTATGGTGGGCGCGAACCTATGACCACGTTAACCACTGTACTGCGCAGAACACCCCTAAGGCGCTCTGAGAGTTGTGCTATTTTTTTTTTTTTTTTTTTTTTATAAAGATCAGGTGTATCCGGACACCTGATCTGGAGAATCGGTGTTTAACCAAGATTGTGATTCTTATTTTGCATCTGGACTTTCCATTGAATGGTCTCAATGGAGTGAGACCACTGCTTTAGCTCTTGTATTAGATATATTTTTTCCATTCTTGCTAATTAAATAACTAGCTCATATTTACTACTCGATGTTTTATAAATAACAGGCAAACCAAAACTTGTTTTAAGAAATTTGACTGAAATGCTATGCGTACTAGTGACTTTAGGTATTGTGTGTACTAGCTCTTTCTTTAAATCCAACATTATGTTTGTAACTCGTCTGCAATGTATGTATCTTTACCTGAATAAAGAATCTGAACCTGAAATGCTTCAGGTAAGTAAGAAATACTGTACAATTTGTACAGTAATTTTATACTGTATTTGTAAAAGAGAACTACAACCAAGATGTTTGAGTGAGTTTTTGCATACCTTGTCTTGCTGCTAAACTATGTATTAGCATGTATGGATAAGTAGAGTGAATAGTTAGTGGCTTTCAATGTGAGAGAACAGCTTGATGATGAAGATCACATTTTTATACAGTTTTTAGCGTGCCTTTTCTTATTTAAATATTGTAATAATGTGTTTACATATTGATAGCACAGTATTGTACTTAGTGATTAATACAGTGTTGTATTAATTATAGTATGGTGCTTGCCTTCTCTAAAACACTGTTTCGGCAGGTCTCGGAGGAGCTCAGTGAGGTTCGTAGGCGTCGTACTGGCTCACTTTCCGACAACGACATTATAGAGCTGGACCACGCCATGGGCTATGATGATAGAGAGGATGATAATGAAGACAATGAGGCAGACAATGAGGATGATGAAGAATAAGAGAGAGGTCCTCTGGGTGTGATAAAAGACCAAACTAATAAAGCTCAAAATTAGTTTCCTTGAACATAAATCTTATTAGAGCTGATTAATTAATAGTTTTAGCAAGTAATTAACCCTTATCATCTTTTGTGAAGGATCTTGCTACAAACATCTTTTGAATGGTAAGAATGGAATATAATATAACACTTAAAAATTCACACTGCAGCAGAAATTGCTCTGCTTAGCGTGACCCATATTTTGTGTGCAATTATGTGAGTACTTTTTTTTAGTTTTAACAATTATTCACTGATAGGAGAGTGCTTACATATTTTTTTCCAATTGTCTATACAGTATATAATGCTGGATGTAATTGAAATTGTGCATGTAAGGTGCATAAAATGAAATAAAACAAATTCTTTGTTGTCATAGTGACGAATAAATTCACACATTGATAACCAAGAGGTGCCAAAAAAAATATTAATTCATTATACAGTATTTATAATTACTATAATTGTTTTGAGTGCCATTTTCATAAGTATTTTTAAGAATATATTTTCAGGTTTATATTTTTAGAATTGTCCTAAATCCCTAAATTAAACGAGTAGTATTTAGCACTTTATTATTGAATCTTCCATTTTTCTTCACAGTATTGGTAAAGTTGTGTGTGGTTGTTGTACATTCAGATCAGAGTAAACAAAAAGCCCAATAGTTGTGCTGCAAGGATTGGTATTGAAAATATTCTTCAAGCCTTGAGCTATTGTTGAATGTGAATGTTTTAAGTTCCACTTAAATTACCTAATATTTGTAAAAAATTAGAAACAAATATCAAATGATCTTAACAATTGTAGGTTCATATTCTGTTCTATAGAATTATAACCAGTACAGGGATGAATTAACCCTGAAACAATACAGCTATTTAAAAGTACTCCATCGACATTTACATCTATAAATATTTAACAGTGAAAATGTGAAAAAATCGCAATTGAAGCACCATAGGAAATCACAAATAGCGATTGGACTAGTGTAAAGATTAAAGTGTTGTACTGTTTGGAAAATTGGTTAAGGTGGTTTCCTGTTTTGGTTTACTGTATTTCACTGGTCACTTCAGCACTCGTTATAGGGTGGAGACTGATCTATGATGTGTCTTGGTGTGAGCAACTATTAACTAATATGTTTTCAGGCTGATGGTCATCTTGTAGATTGAGTCTCAGGATCTAACACAGATGGAGAACTGCACAAAGCTCTGAGTTCATTAGTTTGGTAGTTGAATGTCTTACAGCACATTCCATCATGTCTCTCAATTAATGAAACATGACATAATAATTTGTGACATAAGTAACTCATTTAGAAATTTGGTGAAATTCCTGACTTGGGCTTTGAATGATATCAATGACTTTTTGACTGTTCTGTATCACAGATGATGCTAAATAGTCTTCAAGACTTGATTCCTTTTAATAATTTCTTACTCTTCACTTGGGGCTTTTATTTGATTAAATTTAAGTAGTACCTCTGATCTGGATGTGTAAAGCTATTGGATTATTTTATATCTTGAGATGGATAAGAGTTGAAATTTTTGCATAAGCATTTTTGATGCCATGGTGGTGGTCTGGCTGGACAGATGCAGTGTCTTTTAGCCAATAGACAGTTCTATCTTGGACTTGTTTGTGAGGTGTAGACATGTGCATGTTGTTTCAGAGAACACATTTTGTGTGTTCTTCCACTTCCATGTTACATATACAAATACTAAAAAAGAATCTGGACAGACTTGTGGTCATTATATTTCCTAAATATAAAAGATTAATGAAAACTATGCATTTTATCTTCAGAATAACTTCTCCAATTAAGAAAGTTTTGACTACTCCACTGAAACTATATTATTTATGATTGTTAATCCTTAATACTATAATTATTAGTTGACAGTAATATGAAGTATTTACTTTAAACTCCGAGGTCAAGTGTTAATGTTATCAACGTATGGGAGACAAAATAGGGTTAGAATTGTTCCTGACTTAATGATGTCTTGCTGAGTAAATGAATCTATTCAAAATGGCATTTATAAAGTGTCATGTAAGGCAGGTAAATTTGAACTTATACCTGCAAATAACTTTGAATTAATAATGCTTAAGACCTCATTTTAATGTTCACAGAAATGGTTAAAAGTTTCAGTGCATTCCTTTTTGGGTGGTGCTAAGAGGTCTCCAGTATCTTTTACCATACTCCCGTATAACTTATTAGTTTAAGAAGCCTCATTTCTCTTGATTTGAACTATTTAGTTAAAAGTGATCAACCTTCCATTCTTTGTATCTTTATACTGTAGCTGAATATGAATCATAAGTTAATGTTTTTGTTATTCTGGTAAAATTGCATTTGTAATGCAAAATATCACATTTAGCATTTTACTTTATTATGGAAAATACTATTATTTTAATCTCAAATAATGTGGGTAAATTATTTTAAGTGCAGAAACCATGGTTCCTTGAACTGAGCGAGCATGTTTCTGGTAAGATGTGTGCACAGCAAATTCCTCAGGATGAACTTTCCAACTTATGGGAACAATAGCACCCTTGTACTTCATTATAAATAAATTTACTTTAACAGTTTCTACCGATGATAATTCATCTCTGCTTGCTGGGATTAATTAAAAAATTATTAGTGCCGTGATTGGCTGGTGGCGGATCATCAGTATTAGACTTGTGTACTGAATGGTGGACACATCCAGTAATTCTTTGAGTCTTGCTTAAGTGAAGCTAGCAGGCATTTCTGAGCAGCTTGATGTGCTGACTGTGACGTTGGAGTCTGCCATGACGGGTTGTTGCAGCAATAGGTAATGGCGTGGGCTGGAAGTGCTGTGTGATCCTCTGCTTTGCCTTGCATTGATTTTCCTTAAAATGAGCTTGTAGGGAGCATTGGCATCCTCTAGGGCCTCCCAGTATGGTAATTCCACTCCTTTTTAATGTAAATATTTATTGTTGTCTGGATCAACTGTTTAACTTCCTTTAAAAGCCAAAAGTTATTCATGATCAACTTTCTAACACTTTTCCCTGTAACCTTGTCATTTGTTTCCTACTGGTCCTCTATGGTCTGTTTTAAGTTCTCTTAAGTCTTCCATGATTAATTCTTTGTGATGATGATTGATCTTCATGACAATTGGTGGGGAAGTGTTCACCGACATTGTTCATGCCAGGTTCCCAATCCCAGTCACTTCAGTGGCTGTGTTCACGAGTCCTGTGAAATTGTTGATACTCTTTCCATGCAGCCTTTGTATTCTTACTTGCATGGCAGATATTGTAAGATTTTGAGAAATCCTAAACTGATGTCTTAACAGGTTACGTCTAGATAATAGGACAATGTGAGCTTCAAGAAATGTGCCTTAAAGGTCTCATGATGCCCTAATCCATGGGCTGGACGAAGATGGTGGTGATGAGCAGTAGAAATATGACTTATAAAATTTTCAAGGGGTTAGGTAGTGAGCTCCATGTTGTGAAGCATTATTAACTTAACAAATGAGAAAAGTCCTAAAAGCAAGGTTTTCTCAAGACAGTTGGTTTTGACCTCATTGCAAAAAAGTTAATAAATCTGTCATCAAACAACATGAAAGTCATCATACCGACTTATTTGCTTTCCAATGAACTCTGTAGAATACTTTACTTTTATTAAGACATTTTATGTTTTGGGGGGATTCAATTTATACTAAATCCTCAGCAAAGTAGTTGAAAAGTCCTTTAAATCCTTGGAGCAGATTTCTCGTCTTTTGAAATGTATGCCCTGTAAGGCATGCATTTCTAAGATACCGATTTCATTTGCGATACACTTGGTGTGGCAGGAAGCCCCACAGCTTCAATAAAGGCCTTCAGTTCTTCAACAAGCATAGTACTGCTGGTTTGTCAGCACTAACAGCCTTACCAGCTCTCTTCAGATTTTGATGTTAACATTGTTTTAACCGGTCAAGCTATCCTTTACTTGGAAGGGCTTGGTAATTTGTGCCACTTTCTTGCTGTAAGAGTCCTTGATTTGTTAAGCCTTTGCACAGGTGAAATCTGTGTCAATAAGAATGGTTTTCTGATTCTGGTCTTGCACCTATACTGCTAGCATTTTTTCCATTGTTAGAATGTGAGCTTTATCTTCCTTGCTGTTGATTTAAATTTAGGGAATTTGAAGTAGCTACAAAGTCTTGGATTTTCTCTACATTCTTTCTAAGATGATCGTTGTCTACAATGTAAGTACGTCGGAATGCAGAAACAGACTTTCCAGTTAATTCTGGGATCATCCTGGACGTAGGTTTGAACCCTCATTGCGGCCCTTGTGGATTTGTTCTTTCCAGTTAACTATTTTTCTATGAGCCTAGATCTTGCCATAAGCTGCTGGACATTTAAAAGGAATCATGATGCAGGATTAGAATAAAAAGACAAAAATGAGTAAAATACACAGTATTTGTGAGCATTTACACAAGGAAAGCATTATTTGCGAGCACTTTCATAACAACAGATTGAGTTGTAAAGTTAGGGGCTATGGGTGGGTCCAACTTGAGTTGTGAATCAGTACAACCATGCATGTGTCCACAGTAATTCATGCAACACTCAACCAGCTTTGTGTTTGGCTGATCGTGCATGCATGTATGAACCATGGCTCGGGCACACAATGTGGGAGTTAAAACAAATTTGAGTAGATTGAACGCTCTCAGATCAAGGGATCATGGTACAAGCGACTTAAGCTAAGGAATTTCTATATCTTGTAATATTTCTTATAATCCAGGTTATAAATTTTTGGCTATATGTAGAAACAAGAGGTAGTTCATGCTATAAACTGGCAGAATTATTTGAAGTTATAATGTGACAAAACAAAGGATATTCAGTTCATGGTGGTGAAAGGTGTTTTCATGCATGTTTACATGTATGTGTATGCATTAATCCAGCACAGGAGGTTTATGCCTATGGTTCAACCAAGTCCTCATTTACATAATGTAATAAGTGATAGTTATGTATTATTTGCATATTAGATGTTTTAAAGGAAAAGATCACTGTCGTTACCAATACTATAGTTATTGGGGAAATGCGACTGCTGTAGTGGACCAGTGTGGGTGCTGGAGGGCATACTTAGGCAGGCCCTTCCACAGTGCACACAACTATTAATGAATTCCCACTCTTCAGTCAAACTGAACTTTGTGTTTTTTTTTTTTTGTTTTTTTTTTTAATTATTATTATTATCCTTCTCCCATAAATATTATGGATCAGTTTGGAGAATGCCTATTGTCACTGCTGTATTCCCTATACCCAATTAGTTTATTGATGAAGTGAGCTCTGTACCTTCATCGCCTCTCTCATCTCTTGACAAGTTTCTCTTGTACACACAATTTGTAATAATTTCCATGTCATCATCTTCAGGGAAAACTTGTTGCTTAACTCAATCACCAGCTTTTCCCTCCAGTCCTTTTACATGGCCTTGAACATCTCAATAGATCTGCTTTCATTTGTGCTGCTAGTGACTTCCTCACATCCCATATCTTCCCACATCTTCAACAACCATAATTTATTTTTGTAATAGCTAATATTCTTAACTATTCATCTCTATTGTTTGATTTTAATTAGCTTGTATACCTCATTAGTGTTAGGTTTGGAGTTCTATGCTGATTTGGTACACACTTCACATTTATTATTTTTTTTTTTTCAGTGTCCTCAAAGCATCTAAACAATATTTTCCTGTGTACTATTTTTATAATTTGTGTATTATCTTGTAAAATTCTTTCTTAATATTTCCAAAAACTTAAATTTATTCACAACTTTTGGATTCTTTCACTCAGGTTGGAATTACAATGGAACTTCAGTTCAAGACCTTTTTATCTTAAATTTACTCATAGCATTCTTTCCCTGTATAAATTCTCAAGAATTCTCACCAGTCAACCTAGCTCTTACTCTGCTAATAGACTAGCACAATCTGAGACACACACACACAATAACTTGCATTCCATTCTGTCACGACTCATTTGTTCTCCATAGTTATCCCCCTCATTCCTCCTCATTCGGTGTGCAATATTGCCCCAACTCTTTAAGTTGCAGGTTTCTGTTATTGATGGCTCAGCTCTTGTTGTTGTGGGAAATGTCTTACTACTGGTGAAACAAAGAGAATTTAATGTTATTATTAAGTATTCAGTATTTAATGTTATTAAATACTGAACACTGTAGGGAATATCAGTAAAACAGTAGGTCTTTGTGAGCTAAATACTTCTTAATCTTTTGGTGATGAGATTTTGTGGATACCTCAGGTCTTTATTTTACCTCTTAATAACAATGGAATTAAATAAGTGTTTTACAGTGAACGTGGACTGCACAAATGAGAGCTTGTTTTACTTTGTAAATCGTGTAAAAATAGTAGCCGATTTAGCAACTTATTTTTCTCCTCTGCCGGAATAATTTTATATTAATTAATATGCTGGTTATATATATCATTAGCGGCAAATTTATTTTTTGGCTATTGTGAATTATGGTATGCCTTTATGAATGTGCCCATTACAGAATATTGTTAGGTCTTGTTTTATCTCTTCAATTCTCTTTAATTTGACTGAATATAAGATATTTAATTTTAGAACTTTAAATGTATTTATTGTATTATTCAAATGTATTTATTATTTACTACGTTATTCCTCAGTTTTTGCAGATGCAACTAATTCTTTATATAGGTACATTTTTTATTAGTGATTATTGTATATGATTGCCAATGCAACATACAGAACCTTGACATGGGTTGAAAATATTGTATTGTTATTGGGTCTTATTTATTTGGAGATAGTTTGTGTTGGTGTTAGTTATCAAGGTGTTGGAAGTTTTCTGGATGTACCTTCATTACTTGTTTACAAGAGATAGCAGCATGATGGGTTACTCAAATCACACTATATGCTGGGTCATTGTTTAACTATATATGTGCTGTATTAGGTTGAAGTGTCAGGTTCAGTCACTAGCTTATCCATGAGGTTAACAATATTCAGCCACATCACTCAAATTAGAGGACTCATTTCCTGTGTGTTTGAAATGGTTTTATTAATATATGTGGTGAGTGCAAGTCCCCTTGCCCATGGTATTAGTTAATGGGTGACATGGGTTCATCCATGTGTTAATTAGATTAACACTATATCGTGGAAGCTGTACATTTGCTCTTTTGTAGGAGTGGTACTAATCACTGATCATTTAACTATTTATGATCATGTTTTGAATTTAGTGGAGACAAGTCTTTATGATACTAAGCATGTGGCTACTAAGGCTTGTCTCAATAGTCAACACTATAATCAGCAAGGTGGTGACACTTTCAGACATTTTTTGACTCAAGGTATTTGGGGAGTGTTGTAAAACTCGGGGTTACACCTGCAGTTCATAGTTTACTGATCTGTTCACATATTTCTTTATACAATACAAATTAATTTTTTATCTTAATTTCTGTCCAGTTAATGAGCTCCTACATGTAAAGGTCAGTGATCACTAAAAGATGTTCCATGAATATTCTTGCTGCTACTTATTTCCTAAGAGAACTTTATGGTTTAGTAATGAAGATGTTAAAGACTTGTGTAGTAAAATGCCCTGTTGTATAGTGGTTAGTACCCTCACTGAGACGAGCGAGAAAGACTCTTGTTCAAACCTCAGGATTGGAGGATTGGGCACCGATTATCCACTAACACATGCATCCAGTAGTAAATGGGGCAGCTGGATATGAAAAGATTATCAGGGTCATGTTCTGGGAAACATGGCACTAAATGTTGAATGTTGAAATAAACTTCGTTTCTCTCTACTCTCCTTCAGTCAGATATTGCTAAGTATACTCCTTTTTAAATTTAATTTACGTAATGTATCTTATTTTATATCCTGCTCTTATATCAGCATCTTGAGTAATAATATCAGTACCCCATTTTATCTAAGTTGAATAGATGTGTATAGCCATATGGGACTTCATGCTTTCCTTTGAAAATCTTACCTGGCCTCAGCCTAAATCCCAACATAATAAATAGTATGTACAGAGGAGCAGTGGTAAGGGGAATGTGGTTTTTATATGTAATATATATATATTCTTTAAATAGAATTCAAGTATAACCTTGAGTAGACCTTACATTACCTGCTACCTGACCACAAGATAGTAAGCTGTGCAATATATTTGACCACACTTCGCTTGACACTTGTTGCAAGAATCCTACCAGTTAAGGTAAAAAAAAAGTGCGTCTTCCTTAAAGATAGACACTTAATATATTATGTTGCAGCATAAATGCTGAATGCAGCTGATGGGCACAATAGTGTTGTTTGCTCAAATTTGCCCAAATGTCTTGTCTGTGACGTGTGAGTTGTTGGATATATATATATATATATACTGTATATATTTATTAGGAATTTGTGAGACAGTTTTGCAGTGTGTAATATATTATTTAGGAACAACTGTTCTAATAAAGTGCCTGAATTCTTATACATATTTTTTTTCTTATCCGAAAGCTTGAAAAGCACTGTACGTATATTTGTGGCTTTATTTATTGTGTAACCTCTGTACCTACAAGTAAATCATTGTAATGTGTTCATGTATATTATATGAATAAAATTAGTATTATAAAATATATTCCAAGTTAAACTAGATTTTAATTGGATATATACAAATTAAATGTATCTGAATCATAAATGCTAAAAATGTTAACACTTTGAGCATGGATACAATGTTCCTGTTTATGCTTGTATCACACTTAACAACAGTGACTTCCAAGCTCTACATTACAGTTTTGGAATTTTGTAATACTGTACATGAATGGCACATCTACAATTTTTTTTGTTATTAACATTAAAAATATTTGTTCCCAAAAATTTGTGTCAACAATTCCACCATGGAAAGTCCAGATATTAAAATTTTATAAAGCGATAATTTGTAAAGTGAAGGCCTTTAATCCTTTCCTCCCTGTTCTGAAACTATTTTTTCTTTAATATTTTCATCAGTATTCACAATCTACAGTAATGTACTACAATTTTTACAAAGGGATCAAAATCTACTAATGGAATAGGATTTTGTTTATTCTTCAATACAACTTGTGTATCACCTTCCCTCAGAGATAATCATTTTGGCAGCTGAACTTTGAAATTTGATATGCTTTGAAGTTAATTTTCATGAGTCAGTAATTTGTTGTCACTACTGACTTCAAAATACTCTAATGACTCTTGAATCTTTCAACTGTTCTAATCCCATAGTAATGACAATTCAGCATTGGTGTATCTCATCTTTAGCAGATACTGTATATGAAAGTTGAGCATTGTTGGGTGCCTAGTCATGTTGGTGTTGTTATAAATAACATATCAGATATAACAGAAAAAAACAGCCATTCAAACTACTCGCATCTGAAAATCCACCCTTATTTGAATAAGGGTGGATTTTTGAATAAGGATGTTGATATTTATTCAACATCCTACAGGCTACACCATCCTCATGCCCTCTTACATTTACTTCTGTAGGCACAGCCCCCTTTGTCACGAGTCCCCCATATACAAACATGTCTCAATGGACTGTCTTGTGCACATCCTTAGAGCCCTTGAACACACTCGCCTATGGATACATTGATGCATGACCACATGATCTCACAGCACTTAATAGATCAAAACGTGCACCTTACAATCAGAACTTCATTTTCCCTGTTAGAGTCGAGTACCTCCCTGTAGAATGTCCTGATTTTCAGGATGGTCGGAAATCTTACTTTCCCAATGTTCCTTCAAGTCATATGTCCCTTGATAAGATCCTTAGTGAATCTGACACTTTTGCTATTTCTCATCCTATGTATTTTTGCTTTCGTAATGGCATTGCGAATGATACATAAGAGTTTTTAATATTCTGTGACAGATGGTGTAGCCTTCCAAGCTTGGCTGCTCATTCTGATAATTACTTACATGCCCCGACAAACTCATTCATCTGCTACTTCTACCAGTGTTCCTACAAACACAAACACTCCAGTGGATGCTCTTGGACATCATCACGCAAACACTTGACAAATGCATTGGCACCTGTTGTGCAGTGGTCACCCCAGTCGCCCCATAGCCGAAAGGTCCCAGTTCAATTACCGCAGCAGGATGGAAGTGTTTAGATAACGTTTCCTTTCACCAGATGCCTCTGTTCACCTAGAAGTAAATAGGCACACACAAGTTTTGCAACTATTGTGAGTTGCATCCTGGCAAAATTCATTCATTGACCCAGGGTGACCTCAGTATGCAAGTAGCAGATGCCAAGAAGTAGATGGCGGCATACAATGAACCTCAGTTATGAAGAGAGAGGCATTTTTTTTTTTTTTGCAGGTTATTCCTGCATGGACCCTAAGCCTCTGGCTGGCCCACTAAGTGTTGCTTGTTTCTGTTTTACTTGGGCTGAGTATGAGTATTGATGACTCGTATGGTCGCTTCAGTAAGATTGTGATCATTACATACAAATAGTAACAGTAATTG